ATACATTATATATTTTAAAGTAGACGACTTTATAACGATATTGCCAATATTGTTGAGTTGCGCTCCTGGGACGACATTACTTATAAGATAATTCATTCGATTACATGAAATCAACTGTAACTTGAGAATATCCGTCAGAAAAAATCAATTATTTACGTTTTTTTAACTAACAAACATATAAAATCAGAATTTGGTCTTTATTGAAGGTAAACTAAATGCACGATCAAATACTTACCATCTCGGGATAGAATTATTTTCCTGGTTGTTCCCTCGTAATTTACTATGGAATCACCAACAGGAGAATTTTACTGCCATCATGGCATGTGTTTGTCTTTTTAACCCTTTCACTATTTTTGTACATCACCATGTACATTGAATTTTATTGCCTTATATGAAATTCACAATTATTTATCTCCTAATATACATTTGTACATCAGAAAAAAGAACCTATTTTAAAGTTTTTAGGTTGGTAGTAAGTGCGATAAAGTTTGACAATAGACGTTAGGCAACATTTAAAACGTGAGTGGCGTGTTGTGCAAACAGGTGCATTTTAGGTTATGTGATATATTTTACGTTTTCTTGTAAATCTACTAAAATTAGAAGTTTTATGATTTGCTATTGGTAAGTACATGTTTTAACGTTGGAGATCCATAATAATTTATAATGCTTTATATAATACAAAGTCCACAGATATAGGTTGAATTAGTATGTACATTACCATGGACAAACGCAGTTTGTGGACAATATATTATTATACCATGTTTTTGCAAAAGTTATAACTTATAGTATAATATATATATATATATAATATATATATATATATATATATATATATATATATAATGACATTCTAGATGTAACTATAGATCGAAATAATGGAAATAAAAATAAGCTTAAAATCAGCGACGTTAAAGATGTAGATTTGGCAGATGAAGAAGAAAGGTTGGGGCTAATTGAAAATAGTGAAAATATGGGTGAAAATGACAAAGATGAGTTGAAAAGGAACCAAACAAATTTTAAGAAAGAACAGGGTCTAACTGACAAATCAAAAATAAATTGGATACAAGGGAAAACTGTACAATACGAAACAAGAAATATTCATGGGCATTCAACCGTTCCGACTACCCCTGTTATAGATTTGCCACCACCAGTTGAATTTTTTAGCAAATATATTCTTAATGAGATACTACAACAAATGGCTGATATGACAAATTTATATGCTACAAAAAAAATATTGCTAGATTTCCACCTACAAACTTGGATGAAATCAAGACTTTTATTGGGGTCCATATTGTTATTGGTAACTTACAGTTTCCTAGAGTCTGTATGTATTGGCACCGTAGTATGGGAATACCATTAGTAAAAGATTTCCTAAGTCTGTCTAGATTATACAAGTTGCGACAGACAATACATTTGGTCAATATTTTGAGTCGCAATAAAGACAACAAAGATAGGTAGGTATTTAGATAACAAATTTTGGTATTTTTTTTTATATATATAATAATTTATTAACAATTAGAATTTCATATTCTCTAATTTAATTTGATAACAAGCACAATAACAAAAACTATAATATTGTACCCTAATATGGCGTTATGAGGTACATCACCCAGCGATTTCACCTCAGTTTCAGCGAAGATCTATGGGCCATAATCTTCGCAATCTTCTGTTGTTTATTGGCTGCAGTATGTACCACGGGGCATTGCGATGGTGCGTAGAATTTTTAATTGCGTTCTTTGGATTATTTTTGTATTTGATTTGCTAGCACAACTCTATAGTTCGATTCCGTATGTCCATATAGGTCTGATGAGTGTTTTATAAATTAGCAGTTTATTCTCAATAGAGAGTCGAGATTTTCTACCAATAAACCAATTAGTTTATTTCACTCTCAACTGAATTTGTTTTTTCTTCTTCAAAATTTGCTTCAACTTGCTTTATTTATATTGGTTTGTTACAGATTGTGGAAAGTCTGATGTCTGTACGAGTCAGTAAGAAAAAGATGCCAGCAGCTACCACTAGAAACGAACTTGTGTGTCGATGAGCAAATAGTCCCATTCAAGGGACAAATAAATATAAAACAATATATGAAAAACAAACCCAACAAATGGGGTATCAAAATCTCCATCTTGACTGGCCAGAGTGGACTGATATATGATTTCTTGATTTATCAAGGTTCAACAACGTCCATTAATCCCATTTACGTAAAATATGAATCGGCAGCTGCTGTAGTTATGCAACTTAGTGAAAGAATATCTGAGAAAAACCACGGCCTATTTTTTGACAATTTCTTTAGTACCTATAATTTGATCCAATATCTGGACTCCAAGTCTATATATACGAATACTATATATATACGAATATATATAGTCTATATATACGAATACGAATGCTGCGGTGTTATATCTTTTCTACCCTGTTATATGGAGTTGAGGCTTGGACACTAAAACAGTTGACCATAAAAAATATCGAAGCTTTCGAGATGTGGTGCTATAGGCGCATTCTCAGAATATCATGGATGGACCGCGTCACTAACACGCAAGTACTCCAAACTTTAGACAAAAGATGCGAAATTCTGAATGAGATAAAAACTAGAAAGATGGAATACTTGGGGCACATTGTGAGAGGTGAAAAGTACGAACTTTTAAGAAACATCATGCAGGGCAAAAGAAGTGTGGGAAGAAGAAAAATATCGTGGCTTCGTAATCTACGTGAATGGTTCGGGTGTAGTTCGATTGAACTTTTCAGGCGCACTGCTAACAAAGTCGCAGTGACCATGATGATTTCCAATCTCCGCTAGGAGTGGCACGAGAAGAAGAAGAAGAAGTCTATATACTGTATAGGAACCATAAGAGTTAACTGGTTTGCCAGTCCAAAGTTACTTAGCTATAAAGAAATGAAAACAAATGGGCGTGGTTTTGCTGCTACCGCAATTAGCAAGGAAGGTATTGTCATCACAAAATGGTATGATAACAAGGCAGTACTGACAGCATCTAACTTCGTTGGAATTGGAGAGTCGGATGAATGTAAAAGATGGGACAAAACAAGAAAATAATATGTGCAGATTGCCAGGCCTGAAGCTATAAGACGAGACAACAGTCACAAGGGCGGCGTCGACAAGTTGGACTTCTTACTAAGTCTGTACCGATCCTATGTCAGATCAAAGAAATGGACTGTGAGAATGATGACTCATGCCATTGATTTAGCCATGGTAAATTCATGGCTTGAGTATCGCAATATAAATACGAAGCTATTCTTTTGGGAGTAAACAAGAAGGAAATCCTTGATTTGTTAGCTTTTCGCCAAGAAGTGGTCGAAAATCTAAGTGGTAGACGTGTTCCTAAAAGAGGCAGGCCTTTAAAAAGCTTCGACGATCCAGGTCCCTCCAAATAGAAAAAAACTAAAGTAAGGCCTCTAAAAGAACTTAGATTTGATGAATACCATCATCTTTCACAGTATGATGATAAAAAGGAAGCCTCAATATGCAAAAATGAGGGGTGTAAGAGCAGGACACATATATTTTGTCAAACATGCAAAGTTCATTTATGTATTTTTTTAATACAATGTATTTTTATAATTTTATGTATAAAGGAATTGTGTTTCCACATTTCATACAAAGTAAATGTTATAATTTATATTACTTTTGACAATGATCTGATTTATAAGAGTTTCTAATAAAAAATTAACACTCAATGGTTTTTTTTTACTTCCATGAACTTTTTTGTCCATTGTGATGGACATCCTGTACTGGAAGGAAGTGTGGGTAGTTAAATTCTTTTGATGTACAAAAATCTATAGTGCAACAATACTTTGTATACCAAAAATTAGAATGTTTTAATCACTCTAAAGGAAAGTGATAATGAAAGGGTTAAAGACGAATTACATGCTATGATTTTTTCTGACGGATATTCTCAAGTTAAAGTTGATTTCATGTAATCGAATGAATTATCTTATAAGTAATGTCGTCCTAGGAGCGCAACTCAACAATATTGGCAATATCATTTTTAAGTCGTCTACTTTAAAATGTATAATGTATGTCTGGATTGTTAATATAGATGAGTCAGATAAAATTCAATTATTAGAAGAATTTTTCACTAAGTAACAAAAAAACAAACTTTGTTTAATTTACTAATGTTTGTATTTTAAAAAACGAATTCCGAAGTAGAAATTGAAACGTCAATAAACGTATTTTAACCTTTAATTGTGGCTTATTCTCAATTAAATTGTAATTACTGTAAATTTAGGTCAAAACATAAATGATAATGTAGTTAGCGAATATCTAGATGCACTCTGTCCACTATCACCGCCAATATATGTATCAACTCTCACAAAGCCCCAGGATACGAATTAATAAATCCTAAAGCATCTACCAAGGAAAGCAGTTCTCATGTTTACTATTATCTGTAATAGAATGCCTTAAGCCATTTTCAAATCCAGTCTAAATATGCTTAGATTATATTGATCGTAAAGCTAGGTAAATTGCTGCAGAACCTTCTTCCTATCGTCGGATAAGCTTGTTCCCTTGATGTCCAAGATATTTAAAAGACTCCTGCTAAGCGAAACGGTAACACTCGAGAACATAATACCCGAACATCAGTTTAGTTTTCGTCAAAAAATTTAGTGTCACAATCCTACAGCGTCGTAGAACAGTTTGAAAGAAAAGACTGTATGTGCCTCAGTATTTCTCTCTCTGTTATATCAAGGAATATTTAGTTATATGTTTAAAATTGCAGAGAAGACTTTTTGAGTTTTTTTTTACGTTTCTAAATAATTTTATGACTGAATTTTTGATAGATTTGCTTTGAGTTTCTCATTGTTTTCAGATTTACATTCTAATTTGAAAGTACTTGATGCTTTGATTTTGCATACGCATGTTCCTTCACAGCAATTTAAAGAAGTAAAAGAAAGATAAATTGCAATGAATAAAAAATGAAGAGTTAATGTTAATTTGAATGTTAATGTTTGAATGTTAATAATGAAATATTTGTCTAATATATAGTTACCTTGGTCTTTCCTTTTTGGGGAACTAGCGGCGTTTGTCAGAATTGGAGACCATTCCGATAATACCAGCCAAACAAGAATTACCATTCGAATTATAACCCATGTTGCTCCTAAAACAAAAAACAATTTTGAACATAGAGAAATGTTATAAAAATATATTTTTTTAGTTTATAACATTCTGTCTTTTTGTGTATAAATGTTTTTGTGTATAAAATGTATAAATTTATTAAAAATTAAAAAAACAAAAAGTTACGCCCCCGGGTGGGCTCGAACCACCAACCTTTCGGTTAACAGCCGAACGCGCTAGCCAATTGCGCCACGGAGGCTTGGAATTCTCGATTATTGACTGTATATAAATTCGCACATGACAATAAACGACAAATTGCACTGATTGAATTAAAATAAATAAAAATATAATATATTTGTATTATAACTGGATAAAACATTCCTATTGATAAAGTGATAAATCTTTGGTTCTAAATATTTTATAATAGTTATGTAAACAATAGTTTATTGTGATTTTTACAATTACAATTGGGCAATCTTTTGATTCTTCAATTTTATTTAATAAAAGAACTATTATTTTAACCAATTCGAGACTAAGAATTTATATTTAAAAGTATCAATAATTTTTATTACCGACTAAATTAAAATTAGTTTATTTGGTTGTTATAAATTATTCACTTCTTGTCGTAAAATGTGTTGCCTAACGTATAGTTAAGTTATGTTTTACGTATGAAATAAGTTGGTGTGTGTGTGTATATAATTATAAAAAGTACAATAATTGAGGTGATTATTATAGATGATAAGGGCTACAAGTGATAAAATGGTTAAGCTGAGAAAAACGAAGTCAAAGTTAATTTTATATAGTAAATTCTACATCGAATTAATTACTTATCGACTTATGTTGAATCAATTTTACACATTTTATTTATCTAATTATAAAAGTGTTTTTACACTTAATATTTATTTTCTTTCAAAACATTTAACATTAAAAAAAAAACGTTTGTACTTGTATTATACCCCTCTATTTCAAATTTTGCACTTATTTCTCTTTGTCACTTACGTACCTTAGGAATTTCTTAAAGTAAGTAACAGAAATAACACACATTTTATTCTTCAAACAAAAAAACATATTTATTCATAATCATAATCATAATCTGAGACCAGGTTCAGTTGAGTGTCTTCTTCATTTTCCAAAGAAATATCCACTTCCAATTCTTGGGAGTTTCTTTCATGTTGGGGGTTATTAAAGGATTCGCGATTTCGACCTTTATAGTGGCATAAATTACGGTAAAAATAAACGGAAAATCATTTTAATTTTTCCTAAATCAACAATGTTAAAGGGAAAGTCTTCCGACAAAGTATCCTTACAAAAAAATGTGCAAGGTGTCTGCTTTTCGAAATGAAACCATTGCATTCTTCGTAAGCCCTTCACTTTGTCGTTCATTATCTTAGTTAACGGAGCTACACTTTTAAAATCGTTTACATCCATTTTATTCACCAAGAACTTTTTACTAGATTTAGCTACAACATCCATCCAATCACTGGGGACAAACACAAAGGATGTTTTTTCTTTTTAGTTTTTCAATCACTTCAAAGTTTTGATCACATTCCATAAAAGAATGACCAAAGATCTTTGGGCCTGTGTTCGATGGAGCAGCAGGAGAATATAGGATAAGAACTAGCAAAGGGCTCGACGGAATAATATATAAAGACGCTAAGATAATAAAATTAAAAAGTACAAAAGACTTGTGACTATATCCCATAGGGCTTTTAAATAAATTCATTTTTGGTACTCATTTTTCGTTGCAATTTTCTGACAAACAAAATTTTCCTAATAATGAGGTCCGACAACTGACATCGACATTGACACACAACACATCAGAGCTACCACAATCTAAAATAACGTATGGTTGCCTACCCTATATTCCAGTCCTAACTCCTAAGCTAATGAACATTTTCAAAAATGTTAGTGGCTTAAAAATTGCAACGAAGAATGTGAAAACGGTGTCGAAGTTGTACACAAAGACAAAGGATCCTTTCACGATACATTAATCATCAAATGTTGTTTATTCTATACCGTGTGCTAATTGTAAAAACGTGTATATTGGTGAATCATCTCGTAATTTACACAGTAGGGTGATCTCACATCGCAGCGACATAAAAACCAAAAAAATATCGCATGCGCGTTGACAGAACAAGCATTAAGTTTAAAACATGAATTTAATTTCGAGGATTCCTGTATTTTGGCAAGGGAAAAAAACTATTCTAAACGTGTTTTCTTGGAAATGTGTTTCATAAAATCCAATATGTCTTGTAGAAATAAAAAGTCTGATATAGATAAACTGAACAACTTTTATTGTTAGTTACTGACAAAACATCAAAAATGAAATAAAGACTTACTTGTACATTTATACACCACAATACACCTGCAAGCAAAACAGGTTGCATACAATCAACACAGGTTTAATACATTACTTTCTATTAATATAAAATATGAAGAACACCTACTTAATTAATTTTTAATCATACAATTTTTTTTTCTATTCTTTATGGATCAGTCAAAACACAGCATTAAAGGATGTTACATACGAATTTTTACTATCTTTAACTAAATTTTAAAATTTATTTTGTCCATTATTTTATATGTTCTATTTTATATGTGTGTTATTAATGTTGAGGGGCATAGCTTTATACAAATAATCTCAACGACTAGTAAGTTGCACTGACATTTTGTGATATATTGTAAGTATTTACACATTTTTCTAATTACAGTGTCTTGAAAAAGGAATTAAACAATTCCGAAAGCTAGACCAAAAGTCAAAAGAGTGTTTCTGTAACACCCCGGCCAAACTTCTGACTGCAACCCTAATAAACTTTGTTGTTTGTTAAAAATCGACAGTCACTAATATCCAGTATTTGTTGGATATAATGGAGATAAATAAAGAAACCTTAAATTACATTGAAGAAAAAAGATGTACGTGGTAGACATGTCAGACGAACAGATCCATACCGATGGATAGCAAAAATAACAGGCTGGAGCCCCATAGGAAAACGCAAAAGAGGCAGACCAAGAAGATCTTTCAGAGATGAGGTAGATGAAGTCATGGAACGAAGAGTATTGGAAGACGGAGAATGGGAGGACAAAGAAGAATGGAGGAAATGGTTGAGAGAAGGAAAACAGCGACAGCTGTAGGAACCCCTTTCATATAAGTATATATATTATATATATATATATATATATATATATATATATATATAAGATATATATATATATATATATATATATATATATATATATATATATATATATATATATATTTTGTCCTCCCATTCTCCGTCTTCCAATCCTCGTCTTTCCATGGCTTCATCTACCTCATCTCTGAAAGATCTTCTTGATCTGCCTCTTTTGCGTTTTCCTATGGGGCTCCACTCTGTTATTTTTGCTATCCATCGGTATGGGTCTGTTCGTCTGACATGTCTGCCACGTAAAATCTTTTTTCTTCAATGTAATTTAAGGTTTCTTTATTTATCTACATTCGTCTTTTGATTTCGTCGTCAGTTATTTTGTCCATTCTGGAAAATCTGAAGCTTCTTCTCCAGTAGTCCATTTCTGTGGCGTTTGTTTTGTTTCTGCTGCTTTTGTTTAAGACCCAATTTTCTGCTTCATATGTTAGAATGCTGTATGTATGTTTTGTTATGAAAGTAAAATGTGTTTTTTCCTGTGTTTTCTTTCAGAAAGATCAGATAAAGATGTCCCCAACAATTATAGAGGTGTAAATCTACTGAACACCGCACTTAAGCTTGCCACAAAAGTCCTAACCAACAAAATCAATGAACTAACAACTTTATCATGTCAACAACAAGGATTCAGATCCGGAAGATCCTGAGTAGACGCCGTATTTGTACTAACACAAATCACAGACAAGGCCATCGAGTACAATAAACCAGCATATCTATGTTTTATGGACCTGACAAAGGCTTTCCTGATCCAAGTCGAAGTCGAAGTCGAAGGCGTCTTACACCTACTGTATAAAAAACATACAAAACGTATGACAACATCTAAATACCCAATAAGAAGTAAAATCGAATTTTACAAAACAAGAATCTAAAAAGCAGCAATTAGACTTATATTAACCTTTGGCTGATAACGTTATGTCTCTAGCACTGACTGATTCAAATTTTCGCGCTGCTAATTTTTATTTCAATCTGCACCTCACAGTACCTTTCGAACGTGCTTGTACTCTATCTATACAGTTGTAGTTTAGCAAGTGGACAGCACAACGAGCACAACAGCGAATCATTCCCAGGATAATCCGTTTACGTCTTTCTGAAATATGTGGTATAGAAATTGAGAATATTGCTCCCCAGAATCAAACTCATGGACGATGTACGTATCGGAGCAGTGGCGCACCCAGGGGGGTCTTGGGGGTTATCCCCCCAGGGCCCTATTCCGACACTGTAATTTACAAATTTTAAGGTCTTAAAATGGTGAAGGTAGCATAAAAAAATTTCAATGCCCAACCAAAACCCCTCCCCCCCAGAGGAAAATTCTAGGTGCGCTACTGTACCGCAGCACTACAAAAGTCGAAGAACAAGATATTCTTGTGCAAACTGTAAAAAATATTTGTGTCTAGAACATCTGACGGGATTATGTAGGCATTGTTTTGAAAATTATGGTGCCCAAAATTTGGAATAGTTTTAGTAATCTGTGTAAATTTTAAGAGTAAAATTTTATTTTTCCTGTTTATTAACATGCCAGTAACCGATTTATGTTTTAGTGGAACCAGAATTTATTTTTTTTGTTATAATTATTTTGATTTTATTAAAAGCTTGTTTCTAAAAAAACGCTTTTTTTAATACCCCCTAAAATTATTAAAATAAAAAAAATATATAAATTTTATATATTTGTATAGAAAATAATATACACAATTATATTATTACAAATATTTATTACCTACAGCTGAATTTCTATTTTTTTTTAGTTTTAGAAAAAGTCGGTTTATTAGACCGACGTTATCAAAAATTTTAAAATTGTTCACGTATTATGCGGAAGGTTAACATACACGGCGAAGAAAAGACCTTACACATCTAAAACAAGACAACT